CGCTTCCATTGACTGCAATGAGGGGCGGGCTTCCGATGACTGCAAACGGGCGCACACCAGCCCGTTCGGCAGTTGTCGAACAAGCAGGCCACTAACTCATACGATTCTCGGCGAGTTTTCCAGCCTGCTTGTTTGACGGAAGACGTGCGACCGTACAGTAGAAACGGTCGCACGCCTTCCATACACTTTGCGATTATCGTACGATCGCGGGATTTCCCGCGATTCTCATACGATAATCGTGCAGTGTATGGGCACCTTTTATAGAGAAACACTGTCAAATTACCTTCAGATGTCCTTTAGCCTAAAATGGAAGCTAACACGATAGGCAGTATTAATTATATGTCCTATAACCAGCCATCCATGCAGTGTGAGTTTCTTTTCTATTTTATTCAATTAAGTGGCAACTTCCTGCGTAAAGTACCATTTGGTTAGTTTAGTAGTGCTTTACACTTCAGTTTTTGGTGCTAAATGTACATAATGATTAAATGATTGATCATTGGTAGCCATAACAACTGCTTTTGGACTGGAGTACAGAAACTGTGCAGCCCAGGTAGATGTCCTTAGTGCCCTGGCATACAATTGCCACATTATTGTGCTATGGAGAATTTGCAAATACAATTTGCTCTGTAAATGAAGATGAAAAGTTGCTGCCTCCATGCATTCACTCCAGTAACAAGTTTTTTAATGGCTTCACATTAGATAATAGAGGAAGCTGCTGAAATTTATTCGGGTGGTATGGCTTACTGCTCTTGACAGAGTAAAATTTGTGATCGTCATAAAGGGCACCTTAGCTCATGCTCTCTCAGAAAGCGTACTAGCAGCAGCTAAAAGTCGTCCTGCCTCCGTGTCTGTGCACATTCCCCTGAGGAGACCAATAAGAGCAAAACTGTCCCATCGGGTTTTTTTTTTCCTATGCACTTGCGTCAGCGCGCTCCCCTCCAGTGTAGAGGACAGTGTTCTGATTCCTGATGTTATGGCATTATCGTTCATTACATATATAGTCCCAACACGCAGACAGCTCCACACTTCCCTGTGTGGAGCTGTCTGACACGCATTTTGCTTTCTGGTCCCAAGTGGCAGAAAATAAAAAAAGAGCTTCGCTCAGCATGGCTCTCATTGTTCTCCTGCCATTTGTCAGAGTAAGGCACAGCACTGACGTAAAAAGCCTACGTCTATGCTTAAGTTAGAGTACAAGACGGACAGCTCCTCAGCTGCATGGATTTCATCAGTTCCACTGCTTCAGCACACAAGCCAGCATGAAAATCTTACCGCATGGATTAACTCTGTCTGCCCAAGTGTAGTTCCAGGCACATATTTAACAATGTATGGCAGTGATTTATTAAAGGAACACCATCATTTTTTTCTCTTAAACATGTTTGTTTAACATATTGTTTACATGTAACTATCAAGCTGTATCAATTGTTAGATTGGGTAAACACTTTATTTGCAATCACTCTTCTTTATTGTAGGATAATTGTAATTTTTGCATAGTTGTAATTTACCATAAATCCTATCCCTACTCCTCCGAGATCATCAATGTGCAGTTACCTGGAAGCCATACAGCATGCTCAAGTCTTCTGGCCAGGCTGCTGATGTATACTAAAATGCTCAATCATTTCTATGGAAAGGCCATCCTTTATTTGGGATCCATGGTGGACAGCCATTCTATTAAAATTAATGGGGAATTTATAGTGCTTGCACAGCCTAGCTGGGAGACTTTTAGGTAGGAGGCTAGGTGACTTCTAGCCTGCAGCACAGTGAGGATCTATAAGAAGCTTAAAGGAGAACTATGGGGTCAGGGCTTTTCCCCATAGTTCTCCTTAGGGTAACGGGAGGACACAAACTAGCGTCCTCCCGTCACCCTAAGCTCAGTATACTGAGACGCTGGAGCGGATCCCGACATCGATGTCGAGATCCGCCCAGCTGCGTGAAGTGACAGCTGGCTCTGTCTATCTAGAGGCAGAGCCAGCTGTACCCGCCCCCTCCCCTGTCCGTTCCGCCAGTTAGCGCTGGCGGATCGGAGCGGGGAGGAGGGAATCCAGCCCCTCCCCTGTCACGACAGGGAGCCGTGACAGGATCGAGAAGTAAGCGAACACCGGTATGTGTTCGCTCACTTCCCGATCTACTGAGCCGACCTGTTACAGTCTCATTGTCACCCCATAATTGTCCTTTTAGCTGCCCATACACAATAATATTTTCTTTGTTCAACCCACAGGCTGATTGTAGAAAATATAACAAACGCTTGCAAGCATTGATCGAGGCATCACCTGGTGTCTTCATTGTATTCTGATGGCGGCCTCTGTCAAAATACCCAAACAGAGGTGACAGCCCATTGGCTGCCGATTCTGTTTGAAGATTTTCAAACCCGTTTCCTTCGATCAGCTGATTGGGGGATGTCAGCTGAAAGGGTGCTGGCAGCGGCACTCACTGTGCGATTTTCGGCCGGTTCATCAAGAACCAGCCGAAATTGGTATATTGTGTGGCCAGCTTTATAGAGGTATGTGTAGGATTTGGTTCCATTGGATCATGGTTCCATAGTCCTAGATGGGCCTGCACCTTGAGAGGCTGGATGCTTTTTGCGTATCCTTAGACTGAGTAGGACAACCAATTGAGAAACAAGCCTCTGATCAGTCTGATAATACCTGCACATCCAAGCTACCTTGTAGATCTATGGCCAGCTTTAGTCCTTTGTTCACTATGCTGGCTAGTCTGCATAAATAATACCATATATTTTGCAGTTCCATGATTGTTGGTAGCTGCAGATCTAAGTGGGCACATTGTAATAGTACCAACAGGTATTCATGGAACAATCTCAGTGTTTCATTCCTACACAGTAATTGTGGTGCATATTGTTTCCTGTGTGTGAAGACGGATTGAAGCACCAGGCAGAAAGTACAGTGTTCACAGCGGGGCATGCGATGTGCAACGTAATATGCAGATATGAATTCCTTATCGGCAGCTGCAAGTCGAGCAATCAGGAAGAAAAAGTCAGGGAGGTTGCCAAGGTAACGAAGTGATTAGAATTCCTGCCGTTCACCTTCGCAGTTGGAGCTGTCAGGGCTCAGGGCTCCCTAATAGGATCAAGTTGAAGAAGACGCTGGTCTGGTCAAAACACAAACCAGCAGATATTAGTACTTGAAAATGGGATTAGCGCACACTGTGGCACCCTGCATTGATTGCAGCTAATGAACTCTTTTGTAGCTTTGC